GGCACTTATCATTGCTGCAGGGTGCGGAGGGCAGAAACTCAGTCACCAGGTTGCTGCCCCTGCAGCGACTGCATCGCAGATACTGTCGTTTGGGGGTCTAGTGGCCAGCTTCATGTTGCCATGGGCCGCACTGGCCAGCGACTTCTCCACATACATGCACCCAAAGGCACCTCGGTCCCGCATCGCATTGTACACATATATTGGCCTCGCACTCCCGACAGTCCTGTTGATGACACTGGGTGCAGCAATGGGCGGCGCGACACCCAATGTGCCGTCGTGGCAAGCGGGCTACGAGGCCAATGCAGCGAGCGGTGTCCTCGCAGCCATGCTGCACCCAGCAGGAGGCTTTGGACGGTTCGTCACTGTCGTGCTAGCATTTAGCATGCTGGGCAACCTGTCTGCGACCATGTACAGCGTCACGCTCAACCTGCAGATGCTCGTGCCCTGGCTCTTCCGCGTCCCACGCATCGTCTTCAGCATCGTCATCACGGGCATCGTCATTGGCGTCGCCGTCGAGGCGTCAAAGAGTTTCTTCCTCAACCTCGAGAACTTCATTGGTGTCATTGGGTACTGGAGCGCTGCGTTTATTGGCATTGTGCTGGTTGAGCATGTGTTGTTCCGAGGTGGCAGCTTCGCAGCCTACACCGAAGATGCAGACGCATGGGACGACGCCCAGAAACTCCCAGCGGGATTTGCAGCACTGGGGGCATTTTTAATGTCGTTTGGGCTTATTGTGCCTTGCATGGGCCAGATCTGGTGGACAGGGCCTATTGCGGAAACTACGGGCGACATCGGACTCGAGGTGGCCGTGGTGCTGTCGGCGCTTTTATACGTGCCCTTGAGGACATGGGAGAAGAGGATATGCAGGAGATGAGCAGGGTTGAGTGTGGTAACTTTGGGTAGCGGCGCTGATCATACACGCAGCCATGCAGCTCGGAGACATGATTTTTTTGGTGCGTGTTTGAAGAGTAGGCATGGCATGTGGTTGGTGGTTGGCAGAGGATTGCTGAAAGCGAGTTAGGCCGGGAGGGTCTTGTTGCCTCGGTTGTACTACTTACCCCGGGAACTTGGCTGGTGACGTTCACAAGCCAGCAGCTGGAGCCGCAGGCCAAATGCGGAGACGCAGACCACGCATGGCCCGAAGCCTCCGTCTGATAATTAAGCCGCTTTTCTTTCCACGCCCTTTCTTCGTATCATCGCCCCTCTGGTGACTGCTGCATCGCTTCCTACTTGACTTGATAACGACGACGACAACGACCATCTCCCCGCTTGCGCCTTCCCTCTTTGTCCGTCCATCGCGCGAACCTCGCATCTCCATCTCCATCTCCAACACCATCCGGCCATGTCCCAGGCACAGGAAAAGGCGCAGGAGAAGCTGGCCGAGTCGACGACGGCAGTGCCTCAGAGCACAGCGGCCCAGCAGAGCGACAATGTTGCCCATGCCCTCGCTGGCGCTGGCGGGGGTCTGCTCTCCATGGCCCTGACGTATGCCTGCTCTCGACCGTCTCTATGCCTTGCACACTACTAACAAGACTCCCTTGTAGTTATCCCCTCATCACCCTCTCCACTCGCGCCCAGGTTGAGTCGAAGCGCGCCCAGTCGTCGACGCTCAATGCCGCCCGCCGCATCATTAAGCGCGAAGGCGTCGCCGGACTCTACGCCGGCATGGACTCTGCCCTCTTCGGCATTACAGTCACAAACTTTGTCTACTACTACTGTACCTCGGCTCCTTTTCCCATCCCACCCCAAACCCCGTATTGACCCGACTAGGGTATGAATGGACTCGCTCGTTTTTCGAAAAGGCCGCCCTCAAGGCCGGTCGCGCCTCGTCCAAGCTCACCACCATTGAGTCGATGATCGCTGGCGCCATCGCCGGTAGCGCCACGGTCCTCATGACCAACCCCATCTGGGTCATCAACACGCGCATGACAACGCGCAAGTCTGAGGCCCAAGAGGGATCGCTGCCGGGTGCGCCTGTCGAGAAGGCGCCTTCCACTCTCGCCACCTTGTTTGCTCTCATCCGTGATGAGGGCCCTGCCCGCCTCTTTGCCGGTGTCATGCCCGCTCTAGTCCTCGTCATCAACCCTATTCTGCAGTACACCGTGTTCGAGCAGTTGAAGCAGCTGTTGGAGAAGAAGAGGCGTGTTACCCCCAAGGATGCCTTTTACCTCGGTGCTCTCGGCAAGTTGCTGGCCACAAGTATCACCTACCCTTACATTACAGTCAAGAGCAGGATGCACGTTGCAGGCAGGGATGGTCCAAGGGAGAACATGATGACTACTTTTAGGAGGATCATCCGTGAGGAGGGATACACCGGTCTCTACGGAGGTATGTGTTTATTCGTGGTTGATGAAAAAAGGGACGAAAACTAACATGAGATTAGGCATCGGACCCAAGGTTACCCAGAGTGTCATCACCGCTGCCTTCCTCTTTGCTTTCAAGGATGCTCTCTATGCCTACACTATCCAAGCACGCAAGAAGCTTGCTCTGCGTAAGGCCTAAGGCATCGAGAAGTAGATTTGCAGACACGTGAATAAGTGATGTGACCCCCACAACAGCTTATGTCGGCATCTGCCCACAAAGACACTCTCTCCAGACATCAACAAAGTGCACAAATAATGTTCACCATAACTTTACTACTGATTCTCGCCGTCAAGCGCATTCAGTGCGATCTCCATATACCCCTAGAATAAACATACCAAAGAATCAATTATACAATCTCATATACTGTCTTCTACACCATTATTGTGCACATCTTCTCACTAAAACAATATACAGTGCAAAGATAAAACTCCAAAGACATAGACTTTGTCCATTTCTCATCCTATAACTATATAGCCCCTCTACATACATGCCTAATCAGCTCAGCAACATCCTTTGTATTCGACCATACTCAATACTCCGCTCGTAAATCTCGCTATCAAAAACAACCTCTTGAGTCACCCAAATCTCTCATACCGATTCAAACACGAATCCAATATTCCGCCCGTAAGTATGACATTTTATTGCTAACTTCACCAGTTCCGATCTCATTGATCCGAGAAGTGAGGTGTTTGCTTGACATATTGGCACGTTGATATATAAATATTTTCTTATTACATGACTAGCCCGATTCGTTGATAGGAAATGGAAAAAAAATTGCGTTACTAGCGTGGATTTGTGTATCAGTGCATATAGTAAATGCAATTTTTATAGCGAGGAGGGTACGAGAGGTTGGGGGGGGGATTGTGGTATCTCATGTAGAAGAAAAGAAAAACACGAGTGGAGTTGGAAGTATGGTAGGGTAGAAGAAAGGTATTGGGTAAATTTAGCAAGTATGCGTAGAAGCCAATTTCACAATTAGGTAGTTTAGGTTGAATTTTTGGAATTCTGTATATGACGGTAACGAAAAAAGAAGTAATATACATACATGTAGTTTAGTGAAGAAAATAAAATAGTGCAAGAATTGGAAAAGAGTCTGATTACTTGGGTATCATGTGCTACAAACTCAATTATATGATTTGATATTATCTCGGTCAGGCGGTCTTAATTATAACAAGGAAATTGTGTCGCTATTCCTGCTTCGTGGCGAGTTCCATGAGTTCAGCCATGCGTCCTAAAACTGCTAGGCGGGCGTTTTTGTGGACATCATCTCTGGCCTCTTCCATACCGCATATTATAAACGCTAATCCAAATTCGACTTCCGCTTCGTGGCTTTCGATGGCATAATATAAAGCATTTCGGCCATATTTGTCTTGGTCAGCTATTCCAAGGCCAACGACATTAATGAGGTATTCCAACAACTCATCATTTAGAGAACCTACTGCGGCTGCGGTGTGCAGTAACGTCTTGCCCCCCTTATCCTTCTTTTTCAAATCGATACCGCTCTCGTGAAGGAACCGTAGCATTTCAACATTAGCGCCCAGGTTTCGGATGGACAGGTGTCCAACGCTCTGGCCCTTGCTGTTCGAATAAGTTGCGCCTGCTTCGATCAATACCTTAATGGTGCACTCATGCTCACATTTCAGCGCAGCAAGAAGTGCATAACCGTATTTACCACCTTTTGCGTTGACTTTGGCACCAGCACTGAGCAGTAGTTTGACCATACGTTCATGACCTTTAGCCGAAGCTGCTTGAAGCGCATAACCGTATTTACCACCTTTTGCGTTGACTTTAGCACCAGCACTGAGTAGTAGCTTGACCATACGCTCATGGCCTTTAGCCGAAGCTGCTTGAAGTGCATTACCATATTCTCCTCCTCGTGCGTTCGGGTCTGCATCTCCGGTAAGGAGGAGGCTTACGACCGTTTCGAGACCAAGTATCGATGCACAATATAGCGGGGGGATATTCGTTACCGATCCTGGGTAATATAGCGGGGGGATATTCATTACCAATCCTAGGTAGTGATCCCATATGGATTCCCATTCCGGAGGGCTTATTCGCATCCAAACGAAGTAGGCAGGATTGCCTGTAGATAACAGTCGGCAAGCAAGTTTGCTGACTTCTGCCTCTTGATCACCTGCCTTTCGAGCATGCCTACTCCAGAATTCCGCAGAGTATCTTGCTAACTTGAATTCCTCCAATGCTTGCTCTGTTATGAGCTCAGGTTTCTGGAACTGGTTGAGGTAACCGAGACACGCCGTAGCTATGGCACTGTGGCACGCTGCAGCTTGCAAGCTATAACGCGCTGCCTGGCCTCGCTTTATCCTGTCTGAGATGAGGTACTCTTTGACAGAATAATGGGCAAGCACAATAGTCTGTTCCGATGAACCTGACTCCGTGGAAACCAAACTAGAGCAAATTCTCAGTGCGTCCAGAGGGTCTTCTAGCACTTCGTCTCGGTCGAATTCTGGGCTACGTGATATGTCAATCGCGATCACTTCTGCAAGTTCTTCTACTGATAATGGACGTTCCGAGAATGCTAGCCACTGGAGAATCCGGATAGCATACTCAGCATGTTCCTCGCTGATGCTCCCCAAGATGCGTTCGTAGGTCTTGTCCAGGGTGGATGGTAGTGTTTTGAGTGCTTTCCGCAAATGTGATCGATTGAGACACTTTCGGAGCGTGTCCAACTGGCATGCAGCCCACCGAAACCTAAAGGACAATCAGTCTGAGAAACAAGAAGACTTTGAATCGATCATACATTCCCCTGGAGCCCTCCATAAGGGCAACCTCAATCTCCTGCTGTAAAGCAGAATCTTTTTTCCACTTGACCAAGTCCTTGTCGTCAGAAACCCGTTGGCGGATATACAGCTGTATATCTCTGTCGACTACGTTGCTTTGAAGGCAGATACTGTTCTGTGGATCTACAAAACTAGTTAAAGTGCTCTTGATATCTGGCTCCTCCCGACTTGTCATGATGAGATGCAGATTTGGAATCTTCCAGCTAGCTATAGTTTCAAGCATTTCCATCAACTCGGACCACTGGCTACACTCATCCAATGCATCCAGAACAATGTATACTTGTGGAAACTGCACTATCAAATCGTGTGCTACCTCCAACAGGCTGTTGAGAGCTGGAGGTCGTTTCCCATTGTCGTGCGAGGAAAAAAGAGCATCGAGACCCAAAGGTATGTCAACAGACTTTTGTAAGAGTTGGACGACCAACGATCGCAGCATCCGTTCGGCATTTTGTTTTTGTACGTCGTTGAAATCGAAGTAAAAGTAGGCAACAGCATATCCGGAATGGTTGTCGCAACACATAAAAATATCTTCCAGGATGGTGGAACTCAGGATAGTTTTACCACAACCTGGAATACCGTAAAGCCATATGCATGACGAATTCTCCATTTTCCAATTCTCATAACGCTTTTCATGAAGCAGCCATCGACCAGTGTCATGCTGCCGCTGCTTGAGCGCTTTTTGGTAATTTACTGAAGGATCTGGTGCCGACAACCAGTCTTTCATCTTACTCACTTTCGCATCTCTATCCCTGGTACTGGTTTCTATTAATTCCCTCATTCGCTTCCTTGCATGACCTTCGCCTTCGCCGTACATGATCGGAATGTGGATATTGAAAATGCCCAACAGCGAGTAAACTTGATCTTCCTCGCGTGTTGTCTTTCTTTCTTCAGCCCATCGCATACGTTCCCCTACGCTGAATATGGAGAGATCATGCCCTTGAAGAGCTTCGACTGGTATTCGTGTTATCTCGGATATTTCCTTTGCGAGTGAATGTTTGTCGCCCAACAAGACTCCCTCCTTGGAGAAGAACTGGACGCATGATGGAGCAAGAAGCTCTTGAAGCGTCCAGCCACGTGTAAACCATCTGCTTTCTGAGAACACCACCCCGTCTGGGTCACAGTCTGTACTGGACACATCGGAGAGGTAAACGTAGCATTTCGATGCGTTACGGTACCACTTGAACATGGATCTGATTGCTTCCGAAAGCTCTGGTTCGCTGGACTTGTTGATGCAGCAGGTATCGATCCAGAAATGGCAAAGACCGTCTTTTGTAGCCTGTTCCTTGCAAAGAGTGATTTTTTTATATCCATGTTTCTCTTTCCCGGTGCCATTGTACAGGTCCTGATATGTGACTTCCTCATGGTCTGCACCCCAAGTGTGTGAAAGAATGGCGTAGGGCGAAATATCGCTACGTTGAGGTCCGACAAGGCTGAAACTACCATCACTCTGAATCTCCAAGAGACGCATCGTAGATACAATGCTGTTTGATGTAAAGAACAAGAGAACAAATGTTGGTGTCGAGGACTGGTGTGAGTGACGATAGATGAAGGGCCTCCAGTCGTCCTTGAGGCTATTGGCAAGTAAACAAGCTGAAGTTGGGGGCAGTGCAGAAAGACTAACCTGGTTGGCTGGTGAATACCAATCGCGGGGCAGGTGCTTCGATGGGCTGCAGCAGGAGTAGATTTAGGCGACAAGGTTGACTGGAGATATCTTCTAACTGGCAACACCGTAGTGCAGTAGAAAGGACTTTGTTTACTCTCATCGAAACAACAGAAATATGGGAAACAAACGCCACAAATATGAGTAGCGCCAAAGAATGAGTAACCAAGAATACATAGCAATCAGGAAGCATATGCATTGGACAGATACTCATGATCATTATTCGCAATCGTATCATATATACCCTCACGCTTGCCACACCATCCAAGCCGCCCGGCTTTTGATCGCGGTTCCATATCGCAACCCTAGATATATAAATACATGCGGAGAAAAGTACGCCGCTCCAGTCGACCAGAAGCAGAGCCCATAGGGCTGAGAGCAAAAAAGAGAAGATACTCGCCACGCTCAGATCGCTCAACTAAACAAGACTGAATGCACAGTGCACTTACTGAATTACACAAAGCAACCCTGACTGCACTGTGGAGTAAAAGGTATAGGACTCGCCAGTTAAGCAACAGGCTGAACACCGAGATCAGCACCGCCACGACCACGGGGAGCACCACGTCCGCGGTAGCCGGAGCCACGACCACCACGCCCGCGCCCGCGTCCACGTCCCCGGCCTCGGTAACCATCGACACTGCCTTGGCCAAAAGTTTCCATATTCTTCTGACGTTCTTGGCTGCGGAACTCTTGACCGCGTGTGGCTGCTTCTTCTCTGTCCTTTAGTTCGCTCGAGATGTTGTCAAAGAAAGAGCTCTTGTCATACATCGACCCGCTTGGGATAATGACCTCTTCCTTATTGGCAGACACGTCCGCTGTGGAAACCGCGCCTTCACCAAGGGGCGATCCAGAAGCAATAGCCTCTTTGATCAAATCCTGCTTGTTGAATTTGGCGTTTGCGGATTCGAAATCAAAGTCAGTCGTAGGAACCTCCATCTTGGGATGTTGTGAGTGAAGACCACCTCGGCCTCCCCTTCCACCCCTGCCACGGAACTCGCCAGTACCTCGTTGACGTGGCGCATGCTGGCGACTCTGATCGCGCATGCCCTCAACCTTCTGCGCCAGGTTGTTCATAGGATCTGAAGCAGGTGCTTGGCCTTGAGGCTGGCTCTGACCTTGACCCCTGTTTTGGATGTTGAGCTTCGCCATAGCCTCGGCCACAGCGGCAGTCGCCAACTGCGTAGCGTTCTGTTGTTGGGCAGCGCTAGGGACTTGAACAGTGGCAACGGCGGCAGCGGCCTGTTGGTGCCCGTGGGGTGCTGTCTTGCTAGCCCTAGGGCTTGGAATGGGAACAGCAGGGATAATCCGCCCTCCCTTTGGTCCACTAGGTGCACTCTTCCCTAGGGCAGGCTGCTGAGTGTTCTGAGGATGGGGCGGTGCCAAAGCAGCCGATACGTCAGGCTTAGAATCGACTGGCGGTGGCGGAGCCTGTTTCGCACCAGCGGGTGTGGGAGTAGCGCCAGAACCCTTTGCACCGTTCTTTGGTTTGGCTGATGCACTGTCTGCCTCTGCAACCTTAGGCTGTTGCGCTTGGCCAGATTTCTCATCCTTGCCAGCTTGGGGTCCTGGACCTCGCGGGCCTTGTGGAGGTTGGTTTTGGTTTAGGCCTGGAGGGCCGATAGGCATGTTTGGTGAGAACGGACCGGGGGGCTGGTGGAAGCCCTGACCAGGGGGGAACCATCCAGGAGGGGCACCAAACGGAGGCATGCCAAAAGCGCCTGGAGGTCCACCAGGAGGGAAAGGACCTGGGCCGCCAGGGAACCCACCCTGAGGGCCAAACCGATTGCCATATGGACCTCCAGGACCACCAAAAGGTGGGTACCCACCAGGAGGGAACTGACCAGGCTGAGGGAAGTTCTGCGGTGGCTGTTGGCGGCCAGACACGTCTTGCGGGCTGCTTTCTTGCCGTGCCTGAGCTTGTTGTACCTGTGGCGCATGCGTCGCGTCAGCTTTAGCTTCAAAAGTGATTGAACAAGAAACAGCTTGTATGTAAGGGTCTCAGAAGGAAGGCAACGGAAAATATCCACACGGTTTTGCGCTCTCGGTGGTTTAATGATTTACATCCGAAAATTTTACATCACCGGACAAGAAGAAGAAAAGATGTGATGTAGACTTACTCCGATGATGGCGGGGTCCTGTGGCATGGTAGGCTGCGCCTTTTCCTTTACCGGCTCCTCAATGCGCAAGTCCTTGACATCGCTACCGCGGAAGACAATCTGCTCATACACGACGTCTGATGGAGGGTACTCGTCCTTGCCACCCTTGCGGCCTTCTGTACCAAAGGATCGCACATTGTCTAGTGAGACTGTGGAAGCTTCTGAGTTGATCTCGACGAGCGTGCCGACATAGCTATGGCGAGTCAATGGCTGCAATAACCCAGCATCAACTGGGTACTGACCGAATGTCGCTTTTCGAGATGAGGGAAATGCGAGATCTGCGCGTCGCAGGTCAGTTGGAGCTTGAGCGGTTTTCAGCGCAGCCGCGACTCACCCAATGAACTCGGACATGGCTGTGTAAGGTGGGTATCAAAACGGGTACGAAAGAAATGGAAGTTCAAGGAGAAAAGAAAGGGCTGGTAGAATTTGGGAAAGTCGTAAAGTTGATGGGGGAGGGTAGTGAGGGAAGGTCGGAGAGAGGTTGGTCGTGGGACGAAGCTGAGAGAAACTTGGCGCATGTTTAGCGAGGCGTAGCCTGGGAGCTTGAGCCTCCTGCCGGCCAACCTCTACCCCACACTGCCTCATGTACCACGTTCACGACGTACATTGTCTGGGCTTACAGGTTCATGCGCGTTGATCCATGACCAAGCGAATCACATGACCCTCGAGGTCACCGAGTCTTTTGTTTTTGACTATTTTTATACCGGGTACCGGGTGAGATTGAGCCATGAGCGTCACCACGGATGGACTAGACGACGTCTACGAAGCGCTAGAGCGGTATAACTGGGACGATGATGTGGAGTTTCAGGCTGGTTTGCAAGCGATCGTAGGCAGCAACAGTACGCCAGAGCAAACGACTGAGCTAGCATTACGGGCGCGGTGCTTTTATTATGCGAGGTATGTACAGGCCTAGCAGCCGTAACGGTGAAAGTGAACTATGTTAGATTGTTCTGTCAAATCATACTGATTTGGATTACTTAGGAAATACAACAAAAACATCGACTTTGACGCCTACAAAGCATATCGTAATGCCCGCAACCGGCCACCTCCTTCACCTCCCAGTTCGACCAATGTACTTGCATCCTCTGTCATAGATCAAGAGCTGCCCTCTACCACCACAAGCGCTACTACCCCCGCTACAACCACCGAACCAAGTGGCACCCTCCCTTCGCCTCCAACAGCAACAGAGCCACCCGCGCCTTACCCCACCAGCTTCGCGCACATAGTCGAATTGATCACGAGCGGAAAACCAGTACCAGGTATCAAGGAGATTCCACCTACAGTGCTAGAAGGACAAGGGACGCAAGCGACGAAGCCCAAGCGGAAGAAGCCGTGGGAAAAAGACGATGTTCCTGTCGAAGCTGCCAAAGAAGCTAGTAGTGTGTAAATGGGTGTTTTGACTTCTGGTCCCTATATTTGCTTAAGTAGTCAGAGATGATGTGAGTGATAGGGATATAGAGAGAATTGACTTGTTGATGCTTACAGGAAGTGGGTACTATGCAAAAGGGCCCTCGGCGCAACTAGCTCTCAAACTTATTTACTGCTCGAAAATGATTTGAATGATGAAATACAGAATTGGATACCTTGCGGACAACAATGTTGAGTGAAAGAAAATTTTCCAAATCCCCATATCCAATACCATCTATCAAGAAACAAAGTACCACCTCAACCAATCACTACCACAGCATCAATACACACACAGTCAAAAGAACAAATATATAAACGAACTTCATATACTAAAACTATCTACATGCAGCAAGACTAAAATAAATAATCCCTTTTCATCAAGAAAGGAGTGCGAACCCGAAATGGTCCCAACAGCAGCAGCGACAACAACAACACTGGGGTATATAACAAATCCCAACCACCCAATCCAGTCGAGTCCAACACACCCTATATACGCCAAACATGTCTTATACAAATTCACCCTTGGATGAAAAAAAACAACAGAAAAAAAAGAAGGAGGGGGATGAGGACGACCTCACAACACAGCCTCAAGAATCCTATCCTTCAGCCTGCCCACCTCCTCCCTACTCTGCCAAAGCTGACTCCTAGCATCAAGATACCTACTCTTCCAACTCTCCGCATTCGCATCCGCCGCAGCATGCGCATCCCGCGTGGCCTCGGCCTCATCCTCAGGATCCACAACAGCGGACATATCCAGCCCTTTGGCAACCCACTCGCCCGTGAGCCCCCCAAACGCGACGTTGAAAAAGACATCAAACGTCTCCTTGATACTGCGCGCGCCATGTCTCGCAGTAGAAGATTCAGTCTCGTCATCGTCTTCTTCCTCATCAATAGGGGATTCGTATCCATCGCCGCCGACGCGAAACCGTACGCACTCAACGCGACGCACGCCGCCGGTGGGGCCGCCGGCGCCGACACCCACGGTAGAGGCGAGACCGAGACAGCTGCTGATAGCGATGCCGAGGGCGTAGTCGCTCATGAGTTTCGTGGGGGCAAGGGAGGCGGGTGGTGGCTTGGCGTGGAGGGGCTGTAGGATTGCAGAGGCGAGGCGCTTGGCTTCGTTGCCTCGTAGGCGCTTGCGCCGCCCGGTTAATGGGGCACGTATTAGTTCTGCTGCTAGCGCGCGGTTCAGCGTCTCGAGGGGGACTGCTGAGGGCAACTGTGGTGATGTTGAGGGGAGTTCAGATTCCGGTTGTGAGTGTGTTGGTGGCGGTGGTCGCGGTTGCGCGGGCGTCTCGGATGGGGTGAGGTTCCCGTGGTACGTCTGGTGCGTTGGTCGGTGTTGCTTCTCGTACATGCTTTGTTGCTCATAGGCGTTTGCAGGCGAGACTTGGGTGGACGCAGCGCTTATCGGGGATGGTCCTAGTCCAGTGCTTGGGGAGTCGTTTTGTAATCCGTTAACAAGCACGGTTGGCGTGGTTAGGCGTACTACTGGATTACCAACATTGGGAGGAACTTGGAGACTCAGCCGTTGCTTCTGTGGCGCACCTCCCGCAGAAGGTCCCTCGATTTTCGATGGAGAAACGGCAGACGCCAGTGTGGGTGGGAAACGAACAGAGCCCTCTGGAGCTGGTGGGTCCGAATGCGCCCGCTCAACTATTGGCGTCAAGTTGCCTGGATTTCGATCAATGGGCGGCCCTTCTTTGGTCTTTGGGTTTGCTGGGAATGTCACAAAGGGCCCGTCTCTGATTGAACGATTACTAGGAGGCCGACCGCGAAGTTTGCCAGTGGCGGTTCCGCTGTTGGATGACCAAGCCGATGATACAGCAGGGCCATGGCGTCGGCGAGAGCGTGATCTGGTGCTGGAGGGTGTGACAGCGGACTGTGGTTCGTCGAAAAACGGATACGCAGACTGTGGAGTGACAGCAGAAAGTGGATGTGGTGTATGAGGCGCATCCTGTGTATTCACGCGCCATCGTGCATGATGCCCGCCCATCGGTGATTCCGTATAAGGAGTAAGCCCACTCTGCCCTAGACGACTTGGAGCCGAGGCTGCAGTGTTGGCAGAAGATGGAGTGACGGTTGAGACTGCAGTCCATGGATCTTGTGGTGTCAGAAAACCTCCATGCATGTTGTTTGGATGCGCGCTAGTAGGGTATGCGGATTGTGGCTGCAATACATTGCCAAACGCCACATTTGTATCCAGCTGGGGTCGTTTACGAGCTGGAATGCCTTCATCAAAGTCTATATCGTCCTCTCCATCATCAGCCTTTCGGCGCCCGCGCTTGGGCTTGAACTTTGGGTCAAGAGCCCTGATGGCCAGGTCTTCCTCGAGAGGCACGCCATCACGCCCTTGGCTTGGAAAAGGCTGGTGGGAAGGTGGTATCTGTAAATAGTAGGGATGCTGCTTGCCCAGTAAATATTCAAAAAACGCATCAATGTGCATAGCGCGCATCCATCTCTTCAGTCGCACAGAGTACTGCTGCACTTTTTGCGTGCTCTGTCCTTCATCCGTGTTTGGCGGCTTCACACCCAGATCCAGGGCCAGCTGTGTCCAGGTCTTTATTTCTTTTGCGTCAAACTTGCGGATCAACTCAAAGAGGACCCATGTGCTAAAGGCGTTGCCGTCGCTCTTGGGCGGCGTGCGGAACAGCTTGACTAGCTCGGTGGTGTCGGTAGTAGTAGGGAAGTTTGGATTGCAGTAGAGGATGAAGGCGGCGTAGGCATTGTCAATGGTGTCGTCGGATACGTCGCGCGGGGGCGGGTCGCGGTCGGCGGGCTCGAAGTGGGCAGCACCGGGGCGCGGCTGGCTGGTGGGTGAGATGGCGGAGAAGCGCGGCGAGGCATTCGCAGAGGCCGGGGGAGTCTGGGAGCTGCGCATGTCGCCATAGAAGCCGTGGGCGAGATGTCCGGTATTGTCAGGCTGAAGTAGATGGCCTGATGGCGTGTGCACATTGCGGCTGGCACCTGTGCTCTGATCCAGTCCCGGGTCAATCGCTGCGACACCACCACTGCTGCCACTGCCTCCACCGCTGCCGCCGCCGCCACCGCCGCCTGAATGCCGGAAAGGCGAGTAGGACGGCCCGCTGCCGGGACCTGGGTGGTCGTAGTGGGTGTGTGTATGGGCGTGGGCGTGGGAGTGGCCGTTGGCTGTCAGGAGGGAATGGTCCGTCTGTCCCTCCTCGCCAAAGTCGACGTGCATGGTTCTTTGGGTTCTCCGCGATGTAACGCTCTATCTCTCTCAGCTGCTCCCGCTGCCGATCAGCATGCCATGAGGGCGCAGTGATGAGTCGCGACCGCGCTAATGTCAGCAATAGGCCATGGATATGTCCCGGGGAGCGCGCGCGACAGTTTGTTTCTTCTGGTCCACGGGTTCCCTCTTTGCTGGCTGGGCTGGCTTGACGGAAAGAAGAGGGCGGAAGGATGGAGCGGCTGCTGTCGCAATGGGGCCCGCAAACGCAGCGCGAACCAGGCCAGGGATAGGATACGAAGCGCCCAGCGCCGTCGTTGTGCAATTACTACTATTATTCCTTCTTATTTGTCGCCACGCGAGAGCGATGCAGCGCAAGCCAATACGTCGATGCGCGCTGTCAGGTCGCGTCGTGGGGAGGGTCCGGGTTGATGGTGATAATTTGCGGTCCTTGATGTGCTTTTGGCGGGTCAGGCCTGGCTGCTTCGGGGACATTTTGTTGACTTAAGGCAGCTGAGCATACTACTTATTCGCTTCTATTTTTGGACATGTCCGACCGAACACATCGCTCTCCCACCACCCACATGGCCCCATGTCACCGCTGCTGCAGCATCATCACGCCTGACTGCGCGATGCTGTCTTGTGACTGGCTGTCCATCAACGCTCCACCGTGGACTTGCGACGCTTCTACCTGGGCTGGCCACGTTACCAGGCCCTCATAGGACTCTTGCATCGCTACACAGTACCTCAGCGCGGCCGACGAAACATCACGTCTTGGCCCCACCACTGTCTAGATCCACAAGGGCGTCCGAGAATAACAGTCCGGTCGAAACTGTACTCCATATTGCAGCAAAGCCGCGAAAAGACTGTCGCAGCAGGACGCCCGCATTGTCAGCATTCCGGATAACCGTCCAAATCAAGGGCACATGTCTCAGTATCCGCAACACGGCTGGCCTGATTCAAGTCTGCCTGATCGATACGCTAATCCACAATCCAAAACACTACAGCAAAGTGGAGAGATGTCTATGTTTGATTTCAGCCTTATTAATTTCGTGGGGTTTTGTGCGGCCCGCATGCTTGAGTTGCCGTCCTCGCCAAACGTCCTTGATTGTTTCAAATGCAGTGAGCATCATCTTGCCCCTCAACTCCACCTGTCATCTGGACACATCAATATATCTCAAATCTGATCCATTTGATTTTGGTATATATAGTCATGGCAAATTTCCGTTGGTCACTATATCTGTCGCACGCACCCGTCAGACGATTATAGGAAGTGTCAGGTCATGCCTAGGAGCCGATCTGCCGGTTATGACTTCTGATTTACAAGACGGATCGTACAAACAGCCCTGTAGAACAACAAGGGTTACAACAAGTGCATGAACGGTCTAATAGGCAGTACTTTATCCTTGTTATATCCACCCGTCGTTCCCAAGCCATAGCAGCTGTCGGGCTTGGTCATTTCAGGGTCTTTCAACGAAACAGACGTTGGATAATCAGCCCTGGTTTGGATTTGAAGGTTGTCTACTTCATCCCGTTGATTTTCACAGGGATATTTGTTGGGAATATGCTGTGAATCATCGTAGTGTGGGGTTAGGCTTGACCTTGGGTGTATCTATGTCAAACAAATGATGTCGACATACATACTCGCCCTTTTATCCGGACACTAAGTTGGTATGTCATTGTATGGAGTCATTACATAACTTCTCTTCCTCTTCTCCGCTCCTGCTATAGGAGCGTTTTATGCTCAAACCACGCGTTATCGTACTTGACGTTCTTCTGTTCAAAGAAATTACTTGGCATGTGCAATAGCGGGATAGTTGGTAGAATGGTAATGTCGTTCCAATAGCAGGTCTCACGACTCGGGCTGCCTTTTATATCAAGATTTATATTTAACAAGGCCGTGTGTTATTCATGAATCCAGTCTTTAAACAAAAGTGTACATATTGCTCTTGAATCGTATAGTTAAGCATAGCACATGTATCATACTATTCCCACTTTCATTTATGTGCTTATGTAAGTCTACACGATAACGTGTTCTATCAGTAAGCTGGCCGTATCAGTAAGCTGGCCGCCCCACCAAAATTGACGCGACGTTTTACGCAATTGAGCCACAACAACGTAATATTTTTGGAGATAATTAAGAGATATAATTCATGATCTAGTCCTGCATGACGTCCGAGTATGTCCTACAGTGTGGCATTTCGTGCACGTTGGCGGCGCGCGCTGGCGTCGCTCACCAGTCTGGTTCTGGTCACTGCCCATGACCAACCTTTCTGTCTCTGCAGTAAGCTGCTGAGCCTGCTGCACCTGAAGCACCCCGCCAGAGGCGATATATTGACGGCGCCGGTCTTGCTTTTGTTGTTGGCGCTTATTGACTGTACGTAGCTTCTTATTCTCCTCTGCGAGTATTGTTGCTGATTGCATTGCAAGCTGAGCGCTCTTAGCAAGCTGGCGTATAGCAATGCTTGTTGGACTCTCTGACTG